CACGCACACACGCACACGCACGCGCACACGCACACACGCACGCACACACACATTCACATTCACATTCACATTCACATTCACATTCACATTCACATTCACATTCACATTCACATTCACATTCACATTCACATTCACATTCACATTCACATTCACATTCACATTCACATTCACATTCACATTCACATTCACATTCACATTCACATTCACATTCACATTCATTCACATTCACATTCACATTCACATTCACATTCACATTCACATTCACATTCACATTCGCATTCGCATTCACATTCACATTCACATTTCACATTCACATTCACATTCACATTCACATTCACATTCACATTCACATTCACATTCACATTCACATTCACATTCACATTCACATTCACATTCACATTCACATTCACATTCACATTCACATTCACATTCACATTTACATTTACATTTACATTCACATTCACATTCACATTCACACACACACACACACTCTGACATCTCACCATCGCGCCAGCCCGGTGGCGGATCCTTTCTGTGAAGTTCGCGCTGGGGCTCATCATCGTGAAGGCTATCAGCGACGCCATGCAGGATTTGCAGCTCACCCGCCCAGGCCGCGAGTCCGGACAGGACATCGGGCAGCTGTACTTCACCGCCCAGTGGGGTGACGACGTGCTTGTGTGGTGCGTGCTCTGGGGGGCGACCTTCACGCTCTACCTCGCAGACACCCAGCTCTGGTTCACGGTGTTCTGCACCTTCTTGGGCGTGGCCACCACATTCGTCCAGAGGCACCTCGCGAAGAACGACGACGGCTGCCCGTGCGGCGCCTTCATGGCCGAGGACGCCACGGCCAAGATCCCGCAGCGCTTCTCGCAGAAGGTGCTCTGCTACACCTCGATGGGCCAGGATTCGTCCTCCGCTCCGTTTTCGCAGAAATTCCCGGCGATCTGGGATCGCATCATGCAGTACATGCGCTACGAGGATCGCTGAAAAAACAAACGGCATGAAAAGCAAGCGGCATACGCCCCGACAGGCGGCGCCTTTGGCGTCGTCCCTGGCGCGCTCCGCGCGCCAGGGTGGGGGCCCAGCGCCTTGCCGAGAAATCCGCGCGGGCCTCCGAGCGTCGCTTGTGCTCACGCGGTTCCTTGCCCCTTGGCATCGCTCGGACGTGTGCATGTGTCTTTCGGCGCGGACCATCGAGGAGCATCCTTGATCACTTGGCGAAAAAAACACGCACGAAACCGAACAAAAACACAGGGAATGGACGTCCGAGCGATGGCCAGTGCCCCTCCCGAGGACAAGGTCAGCAGCGCTCAGATGGGAGACATGTCCTTCGAGGTGGGCACCGCCGGGCACCAGGTCCACTGGGAGGACCTGGCCATGCCCGTCGGGCAGTCCCGGCAGGTGCCCCAGGACAGCGAGACGGGGGCGGGAGGGGCCAAGAAGCGCATCAAGGTGCCCAACGTCTTCGTCCAGAACCCCCTCACCCAGAGGTCGAAGAAGAAGAAGGACCCGCCATGATCATATAATCGGTTGGCGCTCCGCGCGGATTTCTTGGATCCGCGCTGGGCCCCCCGGCGGCGCCTCCGGCGCCGCCCCTGGCGGGCTCCGCGCGCGAGGGAGGGGGGGGGTCCAGCGCAGATGCACGAAGTCCGCGCGGAGCGCCAGCAGTTTATGCTCGTGGCGCCTCTGCTTCTGCTGAGAGGTGCCTGCAGACCTACGCCGGGGTGCCGGACAAGCACTGGCCCCAGAACCCCGACGTTCAGTGGCGTGTGCTGGCACTGTCGCGCGGGCTCGGGCTTCCCATGCCTCGCCCCTACAGGGCACCGTACATCCCCGGCATCACCGTGCTCATCCCGCACTACGGCGAGACGATCCTCATGCAGAAGAAGGATCGGGGGCGGAAAAGAAGGGGGTGATGACTAGGGGGGGGTGGATATCATGGCGGGGGCCATGATATTTCCCCAGATTTCATGGCGCCTCTTCTTATTTCATTACGTCCCTGGCCCCCCCTCTGGGCCGTGCACATGCCGCCGGTCATGATTTGCACCCCCCCTTTTGGACACCCCCCTCTTGGCCGCTCCCGAAAGGACTTGTTCAAGAACTCGAACAGCGACAACGTGCCTCTCGTCAACTGGCTGACGCGCAGGTACCAGGAGGAGTTCGAGTTCTTCACGACCCGGATGCAGGCGCGTCAGGGGCCGGGCGAGGCGTGGTCCGTGGCCGGTTCCGACTGGGAGAGCTACACCGACTACCAGTGGGGCAAGGTCAGCAATTGGGCTGCCATGCGACAGCAGACGCTCTTCCGCACCGTCGCGGGAATGTGCTATTACTACCCAGCGCTCCAGGCTCATTTCGAGCTTCAGGGAGACAAGAGCAGTTCGCTCGCCAGCGTGTGGGATGCCAGCGACGTCTTCACCTGTATGGTCTCCATGCAGATGTACAAATTCTTCGACAAGACGATGCTGGAGCACACGAACTACATGTTCGAAAAGTTTCCCAAGTGCCTCAAAGTCGCTTTCATTGACTGCGAGGAGAAGGGCCCAGTGGGGAGCTCGGATGGGGTGCACATGCGGCAGAAACGCAGGTACTACAGCTGCTTGATCGACAGGACGAGCCCCCTGGAGGGCGACAGGAGGAAGCCCAAGTTTCGGGTCGAGCTGCCCGGGTACCCCATTCTTGGGGACGGTAAGGGCGACAACCAGAACCATGCCATTCCATTCATGCGCGGCCACTACTCGCAGGGCATCGACGCCAATCAGGGCGCTTATTTCGAGCAGATGATGCTGCTGCCGTGCGCGCTGGGTGAGTTCCGTTCGCGTCAGCGCGGAGACGGCAGCGGCAAGAAGATTCTGGGATTCCCCGAGCACATCACCAGTGACATCGGTTCGGTGGGCGATTTTGCCGCCTCAGCCGAGGTGGCTTTCGGGACTATTCTGCAGCGCACTTACGCAGTACTGGGTGCACGGATGCACTACGGACATCCCGACATCATGAACAAATTGTACATGATGCAGCAGGGAGGCGTGTCCAAGGCCACCAAGACGTTGAACCTTTCCGAGGACATATTCGCTGGCATGGACTTTACGCTTCGAGGAAACGGGCGCCAAATCAAGCACTGCGAATATTTCAACCTCGCCAAGGGGCGGGACCTTGGCTTCAACACCGTGCTGGGCTTCTTCTCCAAGCTATCCTCGGGCACCGGCGAGCAGATCCTAACGCGCCAGATGTTCCGCCTTTCGCAGGTGCTGCACCTGCCGGAGGCCCTTGCTTTCTTCTACGCGCACGCGGGGTACTACCTCAACCAGTTCATCGTCTCCTGGTCCATGCCCATGCTGGTGTTCGTCTGGCTGCTGGTCCTCCTGTCCGACTGCGAGGGTAAGCTGGACGCCTTTCTGATGTGCGAGGCGGACCAGAAGTCCGCGGCGGCGGTCATGGCATCTGCGCTGGCGACCTGCTACTCGTGGCTCATGCTACTGTTCCTGTTCGCGACCTCCTTCCCGCTCTTCGCCGAGCTCTGGATGCAGCGCAACCTCAAGACTGCCGTGTGGAAGATGCTGCAGAGCTACCTCACGCTGTCGCCCTTCCTCTTCATCTTCCAGGCCAAGTGCATCGGCCACTACATCGTGAACGAGTTCCGGTACGGAGGCGCCACCTACGTGGCCACGGGGCGGGGCCTCCCCACGGAGCGGCGGCCGTTCGTGGGGGAGATGCGGCCGAGATCCGAGGGCTTCCTCAAGATGGACAAGGTCGGCGGCCGGTGCCTGCGCTCTCCCCTCCTCGCTTCTCCTTCTCCCCCTCCTCTCGCGTGCGGCGCGCTCGCTCGTGCCTCGGGCCACGGTTCGGTGCACGAGGTTGCCCTTCGCAGGGCGGCGCGGTGTCGCCGCTCTGCCCCGGGGACCTCCGGACTCGCACCGCGGTCGAGGCCGAGTCGGGCGAAGCTCTGTGGTCGCGCTGCCTCCTCCTCCTCCTCCTCCTCCTCCTCCTCCTCCTCCTCCTCCTCCTCCTCCTCCTCCTCCTCCTCCCCCTGTACGCTCGTCTCCTCCTCCTCCTCCTCCTCCTCCTCCTCCTCCTCCTCCTCCTCCTCCTCCTCCTCCTCTCTCGTTGTTTTTGCCAGAGGTTGGCGGCCTCTACCTCGACTACGCCTCCATCACCTACTACGACGGGGCGATGCTGCTCGTCGGGCTCGGCTTCGTCGTCGCGGCGGGCGGCACGCCGAGCGACGCCCTCCCCGCCCTGACCTGGACGTTCGTCTCGTGTGCCCTCGTGCTGGTCGCCTGGCTGCCCGGGCCTCGGTGTCTGCGGATCGCGCGATCGGCGACCACAGGTCGCAGTGATCGCGGGATCACGCGACCGCCGACCACGTGATCGCTTCGGCCCAGTCCCGCGATCGTGCGAGCTCGAGTGCGTGATCGATCCGTGATCGGCGCGGCAGGCATTGTGGTCAGGGCCGCGATCGGATCGCGTGATGCAGTGGAGTGGTCGGCCGAGTGATCAGCCAGACACGGAGGTACGGGCCCTTCATCTTCAACCCGTACCAGTTCGAGTACAAGCACTTCCGCGAGGATGCCCGCGCGTTATGCGCCTTCTTCCTCGAGAACAACGGCCACAACTGGCTCGAATGGTACAATAGGGCGCAGCTCAAGCCCGGCCACGCCCTCCAGAAGTCGGTCGTGGACATCGCCTTCTTCGGCTTCATCTTCGTCGTCGCGGCCTGGTACGTGACCGTCACCGTCAAGGTGGAGCTCCTGGTCTCCCTCTTCTCCGAGTACGTCGGCTACGAGCTGCTGTACGCCACGGCGCTCCTGCCCCCGGTCTTCCTCTCCTTCGGCTTCTGCCTCTGCGTGGTGGCCCTCGAGACAGTCAGCGGCTGCTCCAGCAGTGTCCGGCGCAGCGTCGAGGCCCGCGTGCAGAGCCTGCAGCGGAGGCGGAGGCAGGCTGCCGGGGACGTCGGTGACCCCGAGGCCGGCGAGCCCAGCCGCAGGGCGGAGGACTTTGCCGCCTCGGCGCCGGCCCCCTCGCGAGTGAACACGAGCGCGCTGGGCGAGCGGGTGCAAGGCCTCTGCGGGCTGTCCCTCGGGCTTCCGCTGCCTGCCACCGCGCTGCTCGTGGTTGCCATGGATGCCGCGGAGCTGGGCCTGGCGCTCCGAGAGATCTACTTCGTGGGCTGGTCGAACGCTCTGCTGGCGGGCGTGGTGCTGAAGCTGACGCTGCTGTCCGCCACGATCATCTTCGGGGAGGGCGTCCTCCGCTCGGACTCCTTCGCTTGGCTGAGGACCTGCTGGGCTCCCCTGGCAATGCCGCTGGAGACGTGGGTCCGCGCGCACCGCATGGCCAGGGACATCTTCACGTCCCTGCTCATCTTCCTGCCGCTGAGCGTGTTCGTGGCGCTCAACTCGCTGAACGTGTCCCTGTGCCCCAGCTGCAACCTGCACCAGCTGTGCCTCTACCGCGACCCGGGCCACGCGGCGCGCGAGGAGCACGAGTGGCACATCGAGCAGGAGCCCGCCGTGGCGCGCGCGCCGCCGCAGGCGGCCATGCCCCCGCCGGCCGAGGGGCCCGAGCGGGGCGGCGCCCAGCCGGAGGAGGAGCCCGCGGCGGCCTCCCCGGTCGCGGGCCTCTGGGCCTGGGCGGCGAGCCAGCTGGCGCCGGACCCGGCCGGCGCCGCGGCCCCTGCCGCAGGCGAGGCGCGCCCGCGGAGGCCGCGGCGCGGCGGCCCCCGCCGGCGGCGGCCGGCGGGCCCGCGCCGCGCAGCGAGCCGCCGGCGGCGGAGGCGGAGGCGCCCGCGGAGGCCGCCCCCGCAGCGCCGCCGCTGGGCACCCTGGCCGCGGGCCCCGCGGAGGCTGCCCGGGGCGGCGGCTCGCTCTGGTCCTGGGCGGCGGGCCGGCTGGCGGCGGACCCGGCCAGCGCCGCGACGCCGGCCGTCGGGCGTGGCGCAACGGTCACGTGCAGTTCTGAGGAGGGCAGGGTGAGACAAGGGTGACGTTTTTGTTTTTTTTTCGCCTCCGAGGGGCCTCGTCGCCACGGCTGGACGCAGCGTGAAAGATCGGTGCGTTTGGACCCCGGGAGGGGTCCAGGGACTGATTTTGAGCCGATTTGGCCACCGTTGTCTCACGTTGCCCTCCTCCGAGTAGTCGGCGATAGGGCTGATGTCCCCCAAGGCTGCTTCTCATCGGCTCCGTGGCAACTGCGACGTCTTTTCGTAGATCCGGCGAGGAAGTCAAGCTTGGGGGGCAGGTCAACTCCGTATAGCCGACCCCCTCCTCGAGGTGGAGGGGTGATGAGTGGGGGGGGGCGAAGAATGGCGCGCCTCTCGTGCAGTTCACTGGGACCCTGCACGGGCCCTCTGGGGCCCAGAAGGGGCACGACAGGTGCGCGTCTCTTCGCCCCGCCCCAGGGATCGCCCCCCCATCCAGCAACGCCAAAGGCAGCACGCGAGGCCCCACCAGCCGGGACGCTGACGTTCGGGGCCCCGCCCGCTGGGGCCGCGACGACGGGGGCCGCGGCGGGCGCCGCGGCGACCGCCGACATGGGCCCCTCGGCGCTGGCCGTGACGGTGTGAGCGGGGGGCTTCCAGGCAGCCGGCCGAGTTGTCGGAGCAGGGGGCTGTCAGGGATGACTCCTGCTGCGGGCACTACGCTTTCTCGCGCGGGAGCTGCCTCGGATTGCTCCATACAGGAGCTTCCCTCGCGGACCACCCTCCAGTAAGCGATTAAGGACCCCCCCCCCCCCTCTCCGGTGAAAGGATAACGCACCCGGCACCCGGAAGCGTTATCCTGGCACCAGGAGGGGGTACACCAGCTTTCCTCAGCTTTTCTCAGCTTTTTCTTAGCTTTTCTAAGCTTTTCCTTAGCTTTTCTCAGCTTTTCCTTATTCGTATTCGTATTCTTATTCTCATTACAATCTAATTGGGATGCCACCCGAGGCGGGGCGCTGGAATTATTTATTTTCCTTCCATTTGCGCGGTGCTAATAATATCGCTCGGCGAACCCCCCCCAAATAATTATTTAATTCCGGCGCGGTGCTAATGATAACGCCGGGGGGTTCCTTAATTGCTTCACTGTCCTGAAACAAGTTGCTCCAGGGTTTTCCAAAAGCGCATTCTGGTGCGCCAGACAGGGCCCCACCCGGATCAGTTCTACCCCGGACAGTTCGGATGCCCAGCGACATGTTGTGTTGGTTTCCGCTGCGCGGCCCCAGAAGGTTTCCACCCCTTCCCTTGATAGGGGGCCACACGCGAACCCTACCCCTACCCCCCACGATTTCTGAGGGGGAGGGGTAGGGTTCGCATGTGGCCCCATACTGGAGGTAGTTGTTCGTTGCGGATCTGTCTCTCACGGCATCCGGGGGCCCACTGACAGCCCCCAGAGGCTGAGGTAGAGGAAAGGCGCCCAGATGGAGAAACCATCTCGTTGGAGATCTGGGTTGTGCCCTTCCGCGGGAGCATCCCTTACAATCAACCCGCATAGGAAGGATGGGCATCCTTCCCAAGGGTACCCTTGCATCCTTGCCTCCTCGGTCCATCCTTGGCCACTTTCGTTGGCCGTGTCCCGCTCGAAAGGCTTCGAAATGGGCGTCCAAGGCCCTTTCATCCTTATCGCGCATCCTCGTGATACGAGCCGACTGTAGTCTTCCCCGGCTGCCTGCTCTGGCAGCCCTCGCGCGCTGGGCTTCCGGGGCGGCCGGCTGAAGTGCCGTGCGCCTTCCCGGTCGCGGCGTCGCGTCATGTCGCGGATTGAGCTCGCGCGTCACATGCACGGGGGGCCTATCTCTGCATGCCAGTCACCGTGCCATGCTTGCAGGTTTCCCCGCCCCCTCCCACTTCCTTCGAAGAAGAGAATCAAAGGCATAACCATTTAACTTTCGGGGTCCGCGCGGATTTCTTGGATCTGCGCTGGACCCACCTTGGGGGCGCCTCTGGGGCCGCCGCTGGCGCGCTCCGCGCGCAAGGGAGGGGGGTCCCAGCTCCGATCCAAGAAATCCGGCGGACCCCCAAAGTTAATGTTTGTACAATTGTTCTTTCTTCTACTCTCTTGGTCGGTCTCCCAGCCGCAAACGACGGCTCTGCAGATCAGAGTGAAACATCGGCGCTGCCCTTTTCCCCCAAGAGCTGCGACCAACAGTTGTCGTCGGCGATGGACTAACCACAAGCACGACTGCGATCGCGATCCAAGCTAGCAGCTAGCAGCCGCTGCCTGCCATCCCCCCTTGTGGCACTTGGGAACGGCTGCCACTAAGTTGGCACCGTTCGCTCCGCTCTAAGTAGAACGCCCAAACGGCGAAGTGCCAACCTGCGCGAACAAAAGCGAGCTGTCGTCGGCGCCGGGCGCAGGCCCGAGAGCTGCCAGCCGTGCACCGGCGCGGATGCCGGGCGCGCCTCCCCCAGGCCCAGGATCGGTGCAGGCAGGGCCCCCCTGCGCAGGCCACGAGAGGTTGCTCGCCGACCCTGGGACGTGGGCGCGGAGCACGTGGCCGCTGGCCGAATTCTCCATCGATCGGAAGCCACACGTGTGGCGTGCGCTGGTCGGCGTTCTGGGAAGCGCCTGATGCTGGCCAGGTCCGTAGCCTCAGAGGGGCCCCGACCCTCGTGCTCCGGTCCTCCTCCTCCTCCTCCTCCTTCTCCTCCTTCTCCTCCCTCCTCCCTCCTCCCTCCTCCCTCCTCCTCCCCCTCCTCCTCCTCCGCCTCCTCCCAGACCTCGGAGACCACCGCACAGTTTCGGGACTTGGGTCGTTCTCCGAGGCCGTCTCGGGCTGCTGGGGCTCCCGAGGTCCCGAAACGGTGCGGTGACCGACCGCGCGGCGGCCTCGACATCCCCGGATGCCTCCCTGCACGGCGCCCGTCCGCGGAGCGCACCCGTGGGCATCGCGTGCCCGCGGCGTCGCGCCTCGACCTCGGGCCGAGAGGGCACGCGGGCCCTGCCCAGTGGGGCGCTCGCGGAGCGTCGCCCCGCCCATTGCGGCACTCCCGTAATCACAGGTCGCCGATCGCCTGGCATCGCTCGGACGTGTGCATTTTTCTTCGGCGAGGACCATCGAGGAGCATCCTTGATCATTTGGCGAAAAAACCACGCACGAAACCGAAAAAAACACAGGGAATGGACGTCCGAGCGATGGCCAGGTGGGGAGCTCGCGGAGCGTCACCCCGCCCATTGCGGCACTCCCGAAATCACAGGTCGCCGATCGTGCCCCACAGGAGGCTCCGCTTATGGTATGGCCTACAATGGAGGCCCATGCCAGGAAGCACCCTGCTTGCCGCCAAGGTGCCCTGGGCTTCTTGGGTTTCGACGGCCTTGCGACGGAGAGCGCCTCGCTCCCACGCCAGAACTCAATGGACGTCCTGGGGTCTCAGGGTTGGGTTTCTTGTGGAAGGTTTCTTGTGGTCGGGCCCCCACTGGATGGCCCCAGTGGGGGAGCCCGGTTGTGGCTCGCAGTTCCCTTCGGCACACGTGCCCTGGAACTCCGCCGACGGTCTCAGTGGGAAACTCAGACAGCGTCGACCCGCCCATTTGGACACCCTCATGCGGATGTGCCCCATAGGGAGCGGCACCTGTGGCCCGAGTTGGGGCGTCCGCATGCGTCTCCTCCGCCCATGTCGGCATACCCCTCACGCGGATCGCGCCCATAAGAAGCTCCAGTTCCGTCCTTCCCGCAGCGCGCAGTATCTGAGGAGAGGCCACACCTTTCGTCACACTCGCAGCTGCACCGGCTTGGCTCCTGCGCCAGCCAATTTCGCGACGTCGTGCTGTCTTCAGACGTCTCATGTTTAGCTCTGCAGGGGTCGACCTAAAAGGTGTTTTGGCGATTTCGTGGGCCGTTGTCGTTGTGGATTTCGTGTTGCAGCAAAAGCGGATTGCAGACAAATTGAGGGAGAACGACGAAAACGAACAACATTGTTTCGAGCGATCCCTGTAGCTCTGGCCCTCCCTCCAGCCCTACAACCTTTTCGCTCACCGCCAGCTCACGGCGGATAGGGCCAACGCAAAGCAGAACTCTGGTGGGAAAGTTAGGGCCATCGGCTTCGGCCTCCGAAGGCCCCCTTCGGGGAGGGGGGGGGGGGCGAGGAGGGGGGGAGGAGTGGGGAGGATGAGGAGAAGGATTGAGTGAGTGAGTGAGTGCGTGGGCAAATGGGGAGGCGGATCGCCGCGCCCTCCTTGCTTTTCTTGGGGGTGGGGGGCATGGGATCTCGCAGAGAACGCGGCGTGGCGTGCCGCCAGATTTCAGTCGGCTCGCATGCGTGAGCCCACAGCGCCGCCCCGCCGCCCCGTCTCTCGGCGGCAGGTCTTGGTTCGGGACTTCCTCCAACTCCTGCTCCTTGCCTGCTGTGCAAATCTGACGCGGGCGCCTGGGGTCGGCATTCAACTGCATACTTACAATGCAGATGCGACGCGGCAGCAAACGGGCACGGTAAGCATCGTACGTATAGAGTGAAACCCATGGCTAACGATATGCCAAGAGGAGGTGCACGTCGCATCGATGGGCAATACCACGGGTAATTTTACGTCCAGTGGCATCAACCAGCGCAACACTCCCCACAGACCCAGAGTATCATCGTTTCTCCTCTACTGTATCCCTCTCGTTCTCCTCCTCCTCCTTCTTCTCCTCCTCCTCCTCCTCCTCCTCCTTGTCATCCTTCTCCTCCTCCTCCTCCTCCTCCCAAGGACGAGCCCATCGGGCTCATGTTATGACTGTCTTCGCACAGAGTGTAGCCCCGTTCGGATGTATGGCGGCCCCGTGTCGAGTCGTGGCTTCCGCCTCTTCGCGTGCGCTCTCTGTTTTTGTCCCAGCCATCCTGTGGTATTGGGTCTTCGTTTTGAAGAGGCAGCGCCCCGCGCTCCGTCCTTTCTTCCTTCCCGCTGCCCCCTCCCTCCTCCCCCTCATCCCTCCGCCCATCCGCCTCGTCATCGTCATCATCATCATCATCATCATCATCATCATCATCATCATCATCATCATCATCATCATCACCATCATCATCATCATCATCATCAGCATCATCATCAGCATCATCATCATCATCAGCAGCATCAGCATCAGCATCATCATCATCATCATCATCATCATCAGCAGCATCATCATCATCATCATCTCCATCTTCATCTTCATCTTCATCTTCATCTTCATCATCATCATCATCATCATCATCATCATAATCGCCATCGTCATGATCCTCATCATCATGATCATCACCATCGCCACCGTCAGCGCCGCGCCCCTCACACGGTTCGTGGCACCACAGGGAGCTCCACCGACGGCCAAGGTGGCAGCGGTTGCATGCGTCACCGCCGCCCCGAATTGGCTGGTGGGACACCCTAGCTCTGGAGTAGACCCACTAAAAGAAATGGCTACTCAACATATGGAAACGTATGCGGTGCCGCGTGTTAGTCTACCGCATCAAGCGGCAGCGTTGAAAAATGATCAGTAGCAGCCCCAGCGGCACACCCGTGAAGAAGGTACCCGTGAAAACGGCGCTGGGTGGAAACGCGGTGCCCCCACGCCCCCGCTGGTAAAACTCCCCAGAACGACAATCAACAGAAACCCGCAACGGCCTAAGCGCCGCAGTGGCCGGCACCCACGGAGCCCGTCCAACAACCACGCAGGGAGAGGACTTTTACGATGTTTCCACTCGTCACCGAGTCGTTGCCTCAATCCGCAGTGGTGCCGTAGGGGTGATCCTAGGGGCGACCGCCGCGACCCGTCGACCTTTGCGGTCCCTGCCGATGGCCACTCCAAAGAGCCTGGCAGCGGCAGCGGGTGGCGGTGCGAAGTCATGCCTCTACCGTCGCGTCGATATGCACTCTTATGAAGCCGCTCTGTAAAGCCGCTCATTGGCGACAGGTCACTCTTACAGGTCATCAGAAGACGACGCATGTTGCCGCGTAGTGCCTACTAGGTTCGCCTCGGCCGCGGGAACGGCCGACCCGTTGACCCCGAGCAGCGTGTCCAGGGACAGCTGCAGGAGGGTGTAGGCTTCGTCAATGTCACCGCCGCCCCACTTGGCACATCACTCACACGGTTCGTGGCCCCATAGGGAGTTCCACCGAAGGCCCCAGCGGGAGCGTCCGCATGGCATTGCTGCCTTATTTTGGCACACTTCTCGTACGGTTCGTGGCCCCATAGGGAGTTCCACTGAAGGCTCCAGCGCGAGCGTCCGCATGGCACCGCCGCCTCATTTCGGCGCACCCCTCACACGGTTCGTGGCCGCATAGGGATTTCCACCGAAGGTTCCAGCGGGAGCGTCCGCATTGCACCGCCGCCCCATTTTGACACACCCTCTCACACGGTTCATGGCCCCATAGGGAGTTCCACCGAAGGCCCTAGCGGGAGCGTCCACATGGCACCGCCGCCTCATTTTGGCGCACCCTTCACATGGTTCGTGGCCCCATAGGGGGCTCCACCGAAGATTCCAGCGGGAGCGTCCGCATGGCACCGCCGCCTCAGTTCGGCACACCCCTCACACGGTTCGTGGCCCTTTAGGGAGCTCCACCGAAGGCCCCAGCGGGAGCGTCCACATGGCACCGCCGCCCCAGTTTGGCTCACCTTTCACACGGTTCGTGGCCCCACGGGAGTTCCACCGAAGGCTCCAGCGGGAGCGTCTGTATGGCCCCCCCCCATGTTGGCACACCTTTCGCACGGCCCGTGGCCCCATCGGGAGCTCCACCGACGGCCCCAGCGGGAGCGTCCGCATGGCACCGCCGCCCCAGTTTGGCACACCTTTCACACGGGTTGCGGCTTCATGAGGGGCTTCACCGAAGGCCCCAGCGGGAGCGTCCACATGGCACCGCCGCCCCAGTTTGGCACACCCCTCACATGGTTCGTGGCCCCATAGGGAGCTCCACCGAAGGCCCCAGCGGGAGCGTCCACATGGCACCGCCGCCCGATTTTGGCGCACCCCTCACACGTTTCATGGCCTCATAGGGAGTTCCACCGAAGGCCCTTGCGGGAGCGTCCGCATGGCATTGCCGCCTTGATTTGGCACACCTCTCACACCGTTCGTGTTCCCAGCTCCACCGAAGGCCCCAGCGGGAGCGTCCGCATGGCACGGCCAGCGCACGTGGCTCGGGCGAGACCAAAAAGACTCCCCGCTCGCCCGCGTCAGCTTTTCTCCCCCTCGTGCATGCCGCAGTCAGTTTTGCTTCCCCCCTCCTTCGTCTCCTCTCCCTCGCGGTACTCGCAGCAGCACCTGGTTGGGTCCTTCGTCAGGCTAATTCTCCCTCCAATGGACAATCTAGTCAATGTACGGATTCGTGTTCTGTGATATGTGCTCCTCTGCCTGGCGCTTCCTCCTTCTCCTCCTCCTCCTCCTTCTCCTCCTCCTCCTTTTCCTGCGATCGAGGACGCCCTGCTGGGGGTGCTGGGGAGCAGGGCGACGCTCGTCAGCGGCAACATGAGCGCGAAGGACTGGACGGGAGGAGGAGGAGGAGGAGGAGAAAAATGAGGAGGAGGAGAAGGAGCAGGAGGAGGAGGAGGAGGAGGAGGAGGAGGAAAAGGAGGAGGAGGAGGAGGAGGAGGAGGAACAGGAGCAGGAGCAGGAGCAGGAGGAGGAGGAGGATGAGGAGGAGGAGAGGAGGATGAGGAGGAGAAGTGAGGAGGAGGAGGAAAAGGGGGAGGAGGAGGAGGAAGATAAGGAAGAGGAGGATCAGATGGAGGGCGAGGAGGAAGAGGAGTAGTATTACCCAGCGGTATTTGCTCCATCACGTCAACGTGCCTTGGTCGTGGATGCATCTTGGAGAGCTATGGCGGGCCTCTTGTGGCCTGGGAGGCGGGGGGTATCCCTGGGGCGCCTCCTGGAGCCCTTTAGGGGGGCATCTCTGGGGCCTCCTGGGGCCTTCTCGGGGTCCTGCTGAAGGCCCCGTTGGTCATCTTGGGGCGGAGGGCTCGGACTGTCCGTTCGTGTCCCCCCGGAGAGGAGCAGCAGCCCTATTACCCACCGGTCGCTGAAAGTAGTTTTTTCGGAGTCCCAGATTCCAATCTACTTTAAGCGCCTTCCTACTTCAATGGTCGAGTGGCTTCACCTTCTCCGTCGTCTTCAGGGGGCGGGCGGACACCCAATCTATTTTCATCTACTTCATATTTCTACCTACTTCTGCCGACCGATGGGTGACATGAATTACCAGTGACAGTAGAAGTAGGAGGTCGTGCAAGCAGCCTCTAGCCATCTTCTGCCCCCGCGTCTGGATCAGATTGGGTCGTTTACGGAGATGCCGTCCAGAGGGAGGACATGTCACGAAACGATGCCGACCACGCACAGGGCGAGCCTGATCAGCCAGAGAGACTGTAGCACGGCGCCTCTGCAGATTGGGCACATGCCACAGGTTCTGCGCACTAGAATGTACCTGCGTGAACACTACGATGCACGACGCGATGTGTGTGTGTGTGTGTGTGTGTGTGTGTGTGTGTGTGTGTGTGTGTCTGTGTTGTCAAGGTCGCCAGAACGTGCATGCTTCAAAAGAGCGAACCATCCTTTCGACAGCGAATGTAGGATGAGTTCACATCTGAGATGCGAGTAAATCGTCCGATGGTCGATATTGCCTTGGGAATTGGCGATGAGAACATCTGGAAGGAGGAAGGATAAGGAGGAAGCGGAGGAGGAAGAGGAGGACAAGGATGATGATGCCGCGCTCGCGAGTCTTCCAGTCCAGGCTCTTCGATGCCTGCTGCCATTGCCCCGGGCACGCGCTTACTCGCTCCTCCCCACCAGACGCACCGCTGCGCGCCGTGCTTTTCGGACTACCGCGCGCGAGAGCAACGCGCGCATGACTGGTGCAGCACGCGTCTGCCCGAATCACGAGCCGGCCGCGATCGACGCACTTCTGGACCATAGCGTAAAACAGATGCAGGAGATGGTTTTAGGATTGGCCAGTGGTCGCGAGGTTGCGCGCTATGTTTCTACCGCAGGCGAAATATCAGAGCACGCATCGTGGGCGGCGTAAACGTCGGCCTGAACCACGAGCCAGGCGTGCTTGATGCTCTTCCAGACCAGTGTGGAAGACAGACGTAGGAGGTAATTTGGGGAGACTCCGTGAGATTGGTCATACCGGGTGTTTACTTTTTGCTGTGTACCGCTGCCAGTCAAGCTTCCAGAGAGACTGCCAAGCTGGGAGCAAACACTCTGAGCCCATAGCCTCCTATTTGATGGTTGTGCAGTGTGGGGGGAGGGAGGGAGAAATGGCTCCTGGGAGGTCCAGCGGAGTGGGTGGCCACGCGCACCCAGCCGAGACCTCGCTGCTCCCTGGGTGGCTGTGTCCTGCGCCAGCGTCGCCACTTTCGTAGGCTCCTGGGAGGTCCAGCGGAGTGGAGGGCCACGCGGACCCAGCCGATCCCTCGCGGCTCCAAGGGGGTCTGTGAACTGCATAGTGTTGCCACTACATACAGTGGACTCCTGGGTGGCACGGCGGAGGAGAGGGCAGCGCAGATCCATGTGAGAATTCGGGGCTCCTTCGGGGGCTGCGAACTGCGCAAGCGTCGTCACTTTCGTGGGCTCCCGGGAGGCGCGGCGGAGAAGAGGGCAGCGCAGATCGTGCATATCTGGCGACGTGTTCTCTTGTGTGTGGAGCGGTCGTACAAGGGGTTGGATACGTCTCGGTAGTTGTCTCGTGGTCCTCCTCTTCCTCTTGCTATTTCTCCTTTTCCTCACCCCCTCCTGTGCGTCCTCCTCCTGCTCGTCCTCCTCCTCCTCCTCCTCCTCTGCATCGTTTTCGTCGCTGTTGCGCGCACCTTTTTTTTGTTTTTAATTTGGCGCTCGCAGAATGTTGTGGCCCAGACTGGGCCTGGTTTCCCTCCACATGTGGCCGTCGCAAGCGCACTGCGGGGCTTACAGTTGCGTGGCGGTTTTCGCGAGCTGTTGTGCTCACGGGGGAATTGCTGCGGTCGCGACCATGTGGCGGCGCTCGTTGCTTAGTGCATCATGCTCGCGCGCACAGTACGTGGTACCATTGTGGCACTCGTAAGCAGTGGCGCTAAATTGTTCGCATCTTGCTCTGCTGGCGTGGTAGCCGGTGTACCGCAGACCGTGGTACACCCTTGTGCGCACTTTTGCGATCGCAAGGTTGCTCGGAGTGAGGCCGCCTGAGCACTGCTCGTGGTTCGGTGGCAAGTCGTGGGAGCCTCGCGTGCCCTCGCAACTCCGTTTTGAGAGTGTCGACCAGCTCCGGGTAGTCGAGGAGGTAGCGCCGATGCAGCGCCGACTGGCGCCGATTTGGCGCCGATTTAGCGTCGACGCGCGTTGATCCGCAAGAGCTAACCAGGTCGGCTGTGAGGCTCCCAGGAGCTGCCGCCGAACCGTGGCGAACCTACTCTGCGCCCGAGGCCCACCCCTCCCCGGTGGGGACCTTCCGCGGCCGCCCTCCTGCTCTCCTGGTCGCCTCGTTGTGAGCCCCTCTTCTTCCGGCGCGGCCCGCCCTCGCTGCTGGCCCCTCCCCAAATTCGGGGGTTGCTGGAAGTACCCCTGGCCCGAGGTGCCCCCAGGACTTCCAAGGCTGCCCCCACGGCCTCCAGAGCACCCCTGACGAGGCCCAGAGGGCCCCAGGGGCTTCAGAATGGAGCGAAAAGCTGGGGGCACCTTGGGCCAGGGGTACTTCTAGCAACATCCGAAAACATGGGAAACATAAAACACAGAAACATGGCTCCGTGTCCCCCCCCCCTCCTCCTCCTCCTCCTCCTTCTCCTCCCGCTCCTCCTCCTCCTCCTCCTCCTCCTCCTTCTCCTCCTCCTCCTTCCCCTCCTCCTCCTCCTCCTCAGCCCCTCTGGCCCAGGGGTTCTGGGGATCCTGGGTTTGCCGCAACATACTTCAGGGGGGCCGTGTTGCGGCGGGCCATGTCATGGCGCGCAGCCGCGCCATGGCGGTCGGGCGAGGCGCGGGAACACCAGGACTTCGCGGCCGCGGTGGTGCGCGCGGCGTTGCAGGGCGCCGTGCAGGCCGCGGGTGGCCCGAGCCGCAGCAGCAGGCGGCTGGCGGGCATCCCCGCAAAGGCGCGGCTGTTGGTCAGGCCGAGCAGGGCTCCCTCGCCCCAGCCCCAGGCCCTCCTGGCGCTGGAGGACGGCCACATCGAGGACCCTCCTAGGCACTGGGGGCCGCCGAGGCCGACGACGGCGAGGACGACGTTGCCCCCTTCTCCGACGCGTTCTACCACCGCAGGCGCTGCGGGCACGACCGCGAAGGCACCGAGCAAGTTCGTGACGGTGGGCACGAGGTGGACGCGCTGAATGGCGGCAAGGTCGACGGCCAGGACCGCGCGCTCGCGCTCCAGGTCTGCTTCGGCGGCGCGCTCGCCGAGGATGAGGGCCTCGGCGTCGGCGGTCTCGTCGGCAGCGGGATGGAGCAGCGCCCCGCCAGGTGCTTGGGTGGGCGCGAGGCCGCACCATGCGGTGGAGCACAGAACCGAGCAGGAGGGGCAGAAGGTGAAGAAGGAGAAAAAGGAGAAGAAGAGCAAGAAGCGGAAACGTCGCTCTCGGTCCGCCCGCGTGGTGGACTAGAGGACAATGCAGGGCGTGGTGCATCTGATCAGGCACCAGGGCTGGCGTCGGCTCCCGAGTGTTTCACGATTGGCGACAGCACGGAACCAGAGACCATGAGCAGCCCGCGGGATGAGCTGTTCTACTGGCACGACGGCGAGTACGAGATGGAGTTCCAGCACGACGAGGTCAAGCACCTGGCGGACATGCTGCCGTTCCCGCAGTTGCGGGTGGAGACGGCCTGTCAGTCGGCGGCGCAGGAGGAGAAGGTGTGGGAGGCGCCCTTTAGGGAGAACGGGTGCTGCTACATGCGGGAGCAGCAGACTGAGGCGGCCAGGCGTCTGTGCACGGACACGGTCATCGGCGTGGTCGGGCTGCAGACGGAGGTTGGCGGTCCCATGACGGCGGTGGTGGAGGAGAAGGGGAGTGCGCTGTAGGACGCTGTGACCTGCGGGGGGGGTCACGGCCATCGGCATTGCGGCCGGTGACTTTTTTGGTGCTGCTGCGGGGCCTGAAAGGTCACCGGGCGCCCGCGGCGCTGCGGCAGGCGCGGTCGGGCCGCAGGCGGTGGTTGGCTGTCCACAGATGGCGGCGAAGGAGAAGGAGAGCGCGAGGGACGCGGCGACCCGCGAGATGGTCTTGGCGAGCCTCCACGAAATTCTTGGACTGGTAAACAGCTGCGAGATGGAGGACAACGGCTTCAAGGCGTGGATCCTCGAGGAGCTCGCGGCCTGATCAGGCCCAGCCGTCGGCTCGGGCGACGCGGACGGCAACGGCACGATCGACCTGGAGAGGAAGCTCACCGACGAGGAAGTCGCCGAGATGATCCGCTTGGCCGTCGGCGAGATCGAGGTAGGGACTCCCGAAGGGGCTCCTTCGTCAGTCCTCAGACCCGAGTGAGGCCACGGGCCCTTGGGTGGTGCCTACCCTGGGGGGGCTCTGGGGCTCCTTGGGCCGCGGTTTTGGGGCGGCTCTTCGCTGCCTGGCTCTCGTTGGGCCTCGGTTTGGGGGCGGCCGCTGCTGCGCAGGCCCTCTGGGGCCGTCGGCCCTGCCGAACCTGGGTGGACACCTGGGGCGGGGCGTCTGCGCGCGCGTGAAGAACGTGGTCGCCCCTCTCAACAGTTGCCGAGCTCCTCCTCCTCCTCCCCCTCAGCCTCCTCCGCCTTCTCCTCCTCCTCCTCCTCCTCCTTCTCCTCCTCCTACTCCTCCGCCTCCTCCTCCTTCTCCTCCTCCTCCTCCTCCTCCTCTCCTCCTCCTCCTCCTCTCCTCCCCCTTTTCCTCCCCCTCCTGCTCCCCCTCTTCCTCCTCCTCCTCCTCCTCTTCCTCCTCCTCCTCCTCCTCCTCCTCCTCCTCTCCCTCCTCCTCTTCCTCCTCCTCTTCCTCCTCCTCCTCTTCCTCCTCCTCCTCCCCATGTCAGGGTTGTGCTACCCGCTGCGTCTGTGTGCCCAGCTGCCTCGCTATGCGCGCCCCTCTCGTTTTTCGGCGCGGCCCGCCGGCTCTCTCGGAGCGGTTTTTGGCGACCGCCCTCCCGCTGCTGGCCCCGTCGAGCAACAGGAGGAGGAGATGGGGGAGGAGGAGGGCGAGGAGGGAGAGGAGGAGGGGGTGGAGGAGGGGGGAGAGGAGGATGGGGATATGAGAGAGGAGGAGGCGGATGATGATGATGATGGTGCCGATGATGATGACGAGGAGGAGGAGGAGGACGAGGCGAATGAGGATGAGGAGGAGGAGGAGGAGGAAAAGGAGGAGGAGGAGGATATGGTGGAAGGGGAGGAGGAGGAGAAGGAGAAGGAGGAGGAGGCGAATGATGATCATGTTGATGATGATGGTGATGGTGATGAGGAGGAGGAGGAAGAACAGGAGGAGGAGGAGGAGGAGGAACAGGAGGAGGATGAGGAAAATGACGATTCGGTGGAGGAGGAGGATGAGGAGGACGACGGGGAGGAGGGTGTTTTATGTTTTTTCTGTCATGGTCGGGGCGGCCAGTTCGCCTCTCGTTTGCCCCGAATAGCCAGCCACACGATGGAGGTCCGCGTTCGCCTCTGGCCCAAACTTTTGTGGAGTGCCGAGGCGCACCCTCGGCGGCGTTTCACCACGAGGGTCTCGAGTGGCCGCCAGAGGTACTATCCCCCCGCAGGGCCCCGCGGCCTGTCCTATAGCCCCCGCGTGGTGCACGAGCGCCCCGCCCGCAACCTTCCAGTTTGGAGGCCCTCAGTCGCTGTCGTCCAGTCTTAAGTCGGGCCTGTCCCTCTACAGGAGGAATCTTGAAACATAGTCAAACATACTCTGTGGACGATTCTGTTTTACCATTTTTTTGTTTAAATATTCGTCCAAAATCCCCTTGTAGGGGGACATTCCCGACCTAATTCTAGTCTGAGATCGGCGTCGTCCCAACATGCGAGTACCATGGTTGCGTCGCCCCCCCCCCCCCCCAAGAGAGCACGCGCGCGCCGAGAAATCTTGCAGTCTGAGCTCCCGGGCGGGCGCTTTGTGGCCACGCCGCTCGAGGAACGATCTGCTCCAAGATGCCTGTGCTAGATGTTCTGGTCGGGCGCACGCCTCCGAGAGGAGGACCCATAGTACGTAGCACTCCCCGCAGTTGCGGACAGGAGTGAGGGGGTGGCGGGGACGCCCGCCGCAAGCGCCTCGTTTTCACAGAGTGTGCAGCGAGCTCGCCGCAGGCGCCGTGTTCTCCGCTCGAGCAACGCGGGTGGGTCGCGGGGTGGGTCGGGGGTGGGTCGCGGGCCGGTGGCGGGTGGGTTGCGGGCCGGGTCGCGGGTTGGTCGCGGGTGGGTCGCCGTTCGACCCCATCCTTCTGGCCAGTATGTCCCAGTGCGTCCCATGAGGAAGTTTGCCGGGCCGTTGGTGCCGCTCTGGTCTGCTCTCCCCCCCCTTGGTCCCCGTGCGCGTGCCCGGCCGCAGGACGTGTCGGACGTGCTCGGCGCATACACCTCGTTCGGGCACGCGCTGGACGAGAAGCTCCTGATGGCCCTGGGCCTGCGGGCGAGCCAGGTGATGTCGGAGATGGACCCGCAGGCCCTGTTCCCCCCCCTTCCCCTCGTTGCGGGGAAAATTCAAGAGGGGAGGTCTTGAACCTTTTTCTGTCTCTGGGGGCCTTCAACGGGCCCCAGGACCCTCAACAAACATTGTTTGGGAAGGAAGCCGGTCCTGGGGAAAGGGTCTAGACCTTTGGGGGTCCACATTGTGAAACAATATCACGAAGTCGGTATCCTGGGTCATCCGTACATTTCTCTTATGAATAGCTCCCCCTTGTCGCACCCCGAGGCCGGTCGAAAGGGCGGGACGGGCGTTTCGCTCGAGAGTTTCTCACCCTTGTTGATCTTGAAATTAGAAATCTGCAACATTTTCACGGCTGCAAGGCGGGTCGTTTTCAATCCGTGGTTCTCGCCTTAGCGCATGTCTGTTAAAGCAGCAATTGCATCAGTTTCACGCATGGAGGGCGGGCCGTTTTCGAAATGTGGTTCTCGCCTGGGCACTTTGCACATTCGTTTTCAAAATTGGAAAGAGGTTCATGGATGGAGGGGGGGTTCTGCTCAAAATGTGGTTCTCGCTTCAGCGCCGGGTAGATTCGCTTCAAACATGTGCAAGAGCTTCACGGATGGAGCGTGGTTCCTTTTCAAATTGTGGTTCTCGCTTTTGGCTTTAGCGTCGCGCAGATTTGTTTAAAGAGTTCACAGCAGTTTCAGGGACTCTCATGGCTAACGTCCCAGAATTGGTGGGTACGATGTGGGGTTCTCAGGGCACAATATATGCGTTGGATCGTGGTGATTAAAGTCTAGGAAAACGTGTTCTGGTACGGCTCAGGATCGTCCAGACGCAACAGTGAGGGTGATTCGCGGCGTTGAGGTTCCAGGAATGTTGCTCTGGGGCAGCCCTGGATTTTCAAACGTTTACCCTCCAACGGGACACTTCCCTTAGTGAAAATGAGTCCTCATCTGGGGCCGATGAAGCAGGAAGTTGGAGGGAGGGTTTATTGTAATATTGTTGGTGAGCCTTGGGATTGCAGTTCTGTTCCTCCTCCTCCTCCTCCCCCTCCCCCTCCTCCTCCTCCTCCTCCTCCTCGTCCTCCTCCTCCTCCTCCTCCTCCTCCTCCTCCTCCTCCTCCCTCTCCCATGCGTCTCTTTCTTTTCCCCCCCGTCGTCCCCGCTTCCCTCTTCCTATTCTGTGCAGCTGCTCAGGTTGCTCCGCCCGTGTGGGAGGGTCAGGACCTGGGACATGGCCGCATCGTGGGCGTTCGCTCTCGTGTCCTTCTTTTCCTTCCATGATCTAACTATACATATATATATAGAGAGAGAGAGATAGAGAGAAAACAAAAAAGAGAGAACGACAGAAACAAGAGAGAGAGAGAGAGAGAACAAACACAAAGGGCTTCGCCCTCTGCCTCCGGCCCACTTATTACTAGTGCGGGTGGCTGCGCGGGGTCTCTTTGGGGGGCCTCTTGGGACCGACCTTCTTGGGGCCTCCTGGGGCCCTCCTGGGGCTGAAAGTCCGCATTTTCGGTTCGTGGACTCCCTCTTGGGCCTCTCTTGGGACAGTCTTAGAACCCTTTTGGGCCATCTGGGGCGTCTCTTAGACCGTCTTGGGGCCCTCTTCGGCCGTCATGAGGCCGTCTTGGGGGCCTCTTTGGACATCATGGGGACTTCTAGGGCCGTCGTGGGGCGATCTTGGGAGCCTCTTGGTCTGTCTCGGAGCGTCGGAAAACCGAAAAGACGAGAAGGCCAACAACCTTCGAAAACGAAAGGGAATCGTTGATGTTTGCTTCGCGGGGCCCTCTGGGGAAGCCTCTTGGAGGCCTCTTGGGCCGTCTTGGGGCCATCTTGAGCGTCTTAGGGCCATCGTGGGACATTTTGGGGCCATCTTGGGCCGTCTTGTCCTCCTGAGGCTCTCTTCGCAGCCTCTTCGGGCAATCTTGGAGGCCTCTCGGGCCGTTCTGGCCGCGTGGTGGCGTCGCCATGAGAATCCTGGGGTGGCCAGGAGCAGCCTGGATTTGAGGTTCGCCCCCCTCGTTGGCTGTTGGCTGACGCGGCGGGCCCCGTGCCAGACAGTAAACAGGAGGCAGGACGCAGAACTGGAGAGGCAAAAGGCCAAACAACCAAAAAGACAACACACACAACACATGACAGCAGACCGCACACGCCTTCGCAGCCTTGCGCCCCCAGAAGGGGCCAGGCCGGCGGAGATAGTATATGGGAAGGGTGTCCCAGGGGCCCAGGGGAGCACTCGCTTTGCACACGGCCGTGTTGGACCCGTCGGGGAGCGCCACAACGCGCCACAGGAGTGGCAGAGCGGGTGACGGGAGCGCCCAAGAGACGTCCAAGAGGGCTCCAAGACGGCCGCGCAGCGCTCCAAGAGGGCCCAAGACCGCCCAAGAGAGTTCCAAGATGGCCCAACATGGCATCAAGACAGCCCATGAGGGCCTCAAGACAACCGATCCGCAGCCATTTTGGCTCAAGTCGTTTTGGCTCAAGAGGAGCCGTTCTGGTTTATTTTTCTGGGCTGCCGCGGGGCAGCACGAATCCTCGCATCACCGCTGGGTCTCTGTGCCATGGGAACCAGGGAGCTTCGGCTGCCGTCGGCGTCCAGTCAAGCAACGGTAGAGAGCTATGTTTCCCGCACGGCCTCGCAGCTGCCCGCGCACTTTGCCTTCGCCACCCTGGTGTCGTGGATCTCTCCGCAGCGACCTCGCAAGCTTGCCACCCCAGACTCCGTGCCTGAGGGCCATTGGGACTCAGAGGGGATCGCGTCTCTGGCGTCCGAGTGCACCAGCTTGCTGGTGCGATGCACGTTCGAAGCGCGGTACGAAAAGCGCTTGATGAAGCAGTTGTTGGAACAGCTCGAGCCGCACCGTGACATCTGCGTGTTCGTGCTGCAGCTGCTTGAGGTCTCAGATGAAATCAGCTGAGAATACGTGCAGACCGTCATGACGCGCCACGACGCTCTCCTGGCCGTCGGTGCCAACGCTGAGCTGCTGGATCCCGGTGACAATCCAGATCGGCTTCTCCAGAATCTCGACCAAGAGCGGGCTTGGCTTGAAGCGAATGCGCTGCGTGCAACGTCGATGATCGATCGCAGCGACGACTCTTTCTAGTGTGTGCTGGACCATCACCACGAGCTGCTATGAGAGAGCGTCCTGGAGCTTTGATGTCCAAATTCGACCCCATCGATCGCAACCTCGTGGAGAAGGCCAACAGGGTGGGCGATTACCAGATGACCAATCGTTTCAACGCAAGGAGCAGAAACGAAATTCTGCCTACCGATCGGAGCGAGTCGAGAATGATTTTCTCAAGGTCTGCGACAAGTCGGACCACGTTTCTGCTGGAGACCTCGAGTGCATCTACCGCGAAATGCGATTCTTCAGGGACGTGCTGAGGCATCCACACATCGCCCATTGCACTAACATGTGCCATACCTTCTCCCGGGTGTACTTAGCCCTCGAATGTGGGGGGCAGACGCACACACATACCATATCTACATATGCATATATAGACATCTACATTTATACAGATCTACATAGATTTGGTCGCTGGCCGACCATAATTCACACGCGCATGCTTTTTACAGTGTGTTCACATATGTGACGGGCATGTATGATACGTAGCGCATGCCGTGCAACCAAAGCGTTTTCCTGTGTCGACAGGGTGTCGATAGGGTTTGTCGACCCCGTGTCATAAGATGCACTAGTGAAGCCCAGTTTACACACTTCACACCCAGGCTGGTGTTTGCATCGTTGGCTCTAGGTTTGTCCAGATCGGACAGATGCATCGTGGCGTGGCTGTCTTCACACACTCTGACACCAATATACATGTAACGAGGGAGCGGTGAGCACATACAACTGTATTCGCGCACGTATCCATAATAGCGCTCTGGAACTCTGGTCTGAACGCGCGGTCCGTGAAGTAGCGGTATGGATATCTGCTTGTTTCTCCAAATTTGTTGGACTGGTGGTAACCAGAGGCCACCAAGGCAATCCGTCACCAGCACCCTCGAGTGCTGGTGGTCCCCGCGTGGGCCTCTGGCCGTGGCAGGGTCCCGCTCTGGCCGGCCCCGCCTCCGTCGGTGGCAGCGCCCGCGACCCTGCCAACCGCGACGACGCTCCGCAGCCGGTCCCCAGAGACCACCATCAGCCACGCGCAGAGGGGGGTGGGGGGAGGGGGGAGGGCTTCTTAGAAACACCCCTGCTTCGTAGAAGGCGCGGGCCTCAGCTAAAGATGGAAGGCTGGCGCCTTTTAAGAAGCAGCCTCCTTCTAAGAAGCCCCCCCCCCTCCCTCCACCCCCTTGTGCGCGCCGCCAACACCACCGCTCGCGAGAAGCAATGTCGCAGACACCATCGGAGTTGGGGCTGTGCCAGACGACGCCACGCCGCCGCGGCGTGCAGGAGCGCAGCGCGAAGCACGGGCGCCAGGGGTCGCGGATGCGCCCGGAGCGCCTGGCGACGCGGCCGCCCTTCCCTCGGGGGCCCCCAAACGGGGCTGTGACCACACCGTACGGTGAGTCGGTGGGGATTCGGGGTCACCGCACGGTTTTGGGACTCGAGTCCCTCTCCGAGGATGTCTCGGGCGACAGCAGCCTCCAGGGTCCCAAAACCGTGCGGTGACGGACCGTGCGGTGAGGTCTTGGGGGATTTCGAGGTCACCGCACGGTGTGTCACCGCACCGTTTCGGGACTCCAAATTCCCCTCCCTTGCCTTCGTGCCCTGCCTGCTGCTTTTACCCTGGCCGGCCCTACCAGTGGGGACTTGCTGGGGCTGCTGCGGGCGCCTGTCTGTGTCGGGGGCCTAAGGCTTGTGTTGTCTGAGTCGGCGCAGCAGTGAACGGACCCTAAAGCTCGCCAGCTTCTCCAGACGGGGTTCCGGAGAGCTTCTCGGACGGGGTCAAGCCAACTTTGAATTAGAGGGTGAATTCCTTGCCCGGCTTCCACTTCCAGGCGGAACAAAGCCATACCACGCGCCTCTCGGTCAAGCAGCATTGCCGTTGCGAGCCATGTCACGGGTAGCCTGGTATCGCGTGCCTCCCGTTTGGAGGCGAGGGCGGTCAAAAGCGAGGCAGATTCGTCCGCCCCGACTGAGCCTACCTCTTCGAGAGCGTTTAGTTTGGTACCTTCTGGGCCAGAAGGCGCGTTAGCCCCCCCCCTGTCCCCCCCCCCTATGCGTAACTCGCCCCCCCCCGTGCGTCTCTACTCAGCACGTCTGGCCTCCTAGTTTGTGGCGCCGCACCCACACGGCGGGGTGGGGCGTCACGTTCTGCCCCCCCCCTCTCCCCCCCAGGGTGCCCGCTGCCGCCGCAGATCCAAAGGTGTTCCCTTCGGACGTGGGCTTGGAGTCGGTCATGCGGCACCGCTGTGCTCGCAGAGTCCTTCGGGCCGGACGAGAGGGGGGGATTGGGAAAGGGGGGGGGGGTACGAAATTTGCTGCATGCAGCTGGTTTCGGCCTCGCCGAGGGGCCCATTCCTCGATACATGGCCGCCTCCCGGCGCCTCCCGGCGCCGGGAAAATCAGCTGCGTGAGCTGATCCTCACCCCCCCCCTTTGCTATTCCCCCCCTTTCGCCCGACCCGATAAACGATTGGCGCAGCACGACTCCCTGCCGTAGCCCTGCCCAGCCCCCTCAAGGAGTGCCTCCTGGTGCCCAGTTGCTTCTGGCCTCGGCGCTTTCCCCCCTCTTGAAGGGGCAGCGGCGACGGCGCGGCTCCGCTTCCTCCTGGCATGCTCCTTAGCCAATCACGGGAGCCTGGCGTCCGTGCTGCGCAGTCCCCCCCCCCGCGCCCCCGCCCGGCAGGGCGTCGTCGGCCTGCTCTCCGCCCACGCCGCCGCCAAGCAGCGGCCGGGCAAGGCGCTCCTGGGGGCGCTGCAGAGCAGGGTGTCCGAGGCCCCGCCCCCCCCAGGATGGGGCGGGCGGCGCGGCAGGGCGGCCTTTGGAGCGAAGAGGCTGTGCTGTCGGCCGTCGCCTTCTCCCCCCCCCCCCCACTTCTGTCAGGAGGGAAAAAAACACACAGACACAATGAATCGTCGATTCCCCAGAAAAGATGGGAAAATATGGGAGGTGGGGGGGAAGACAAAAACCCAGAAAATATAAGAAAATCAAGGGAATCGGGTTATTTGTGTGTATTTATTTGTGTGTCCCAGTTCCCCTTCATACTGTCAAGCAGTGGCAGAGCGTCCTGCCACGCCTACTGGCCCTAAGAACATTGTGTGGCCTGCACGACGGTTCGTCGGACATTTCTGGCCGAGACGGTCCTGTTTTAACGCATCGGGCTTATCTCATAAGACCATGGCTTTTGTTCTTAGTACATTTTCAGGTTCTAAAAAACATGTCGTGGTAGGCCTATAGGAATGTTTGGGCGGTCGATCCCTGCTCGACACTGGATAACCCCGGATGTCGCCGCACAGCAGTCACACGGTCTCCGGGCTGCCCCAGATCCACGGATCCGTAAACCATGCTGCCGTGTGCCCAGGGGGCTGGAGGATCGAGATTTTTCCCAACCATCCTGTGGTGTTGGGTCTTCGTTTTGAAGAGACGTCGCCCCGCGTTCCTTCCTCCTTCCTCCTCCTCCCCTTTCCCAACCTCGTTTTGAAGAGACGGTGCCCCGCGTTCCCGCCTCCTTCCTCCCTCCCTCCTCCCCCCTCCTCCCCCTCCCACACCCATTCTGGCACACCCCTCACACGTTTCGTGGCCCCGTAGGGAGCTCCACCGAAGGCCCCAGTGGCTGCGCCCGCATGCGGTTCCACCCCCCATTCTGGCACACCCCTCACACGTTTCGTGGCCCCATAGGGAGCTCCACCGAAGGCCCCAGTGGCTGCGCCCGCATGCGGTTCCACCCCCCATTTTGGCACACCCCTCACACGTTTCGTGGCCCCATAGGGAGCTCCACCGAAGGCCCCAGTGGCTGCGCCCGCATGCGGTTCCACCCCCCATTCTGGCACACCCCTCACACGTTTCGTGGCCCCATAGGGAGCTCCACCGAAGGCCCCAGTGGCTGCGCCCGCATGCGGTTCCACCCCCCATTCTGGCACACCCCTCACACGTTTCGTGGCCCCATAGGGAGCTCCACCGAAGGCCCCAGTGGCTGCGCCCGCATGCGGTTCCACCCCCCATTCTGGCACACCCCTCACACGTTTCGTGGCCCCATAGGGAGCTCCACCGAAGGCCCCAGTGGCTGCGCCCGCATGCGGTTCCACCCCCCATTCTGGCACACCCCTCACACGTTTCGTGGCCCCATAGGGAGCTCCACCGAAGGCCCCAGTGGCTGCGCCCGCATGCGGTTCCACCCCCCATTCTGGCACACCCCTCACACGTTTCGTGGCCCCATAGGGAGCTCCACCGAAGGCCCCAGTGGCTGCGCCCGCATGCGGTTCCACCCCCCATTCTGGCACACCCCTCACACGTTTCGTGGCCCCATAGGGAGCTCCACCGAAGGCCCCAGTGGCTGCGCCCGCATGCGGTTCCACCCCCCATTCTGGCACACCCCTCACACGTTTCGTGGCCCCATAGGGAGCTCCACCGAAGGCCCCAGTGGCTGCGCCCGCATGCGGTTCCACCCCCCATTCTGGCACACCCCTCACACGTTTCGTGGCCCCATAGGGAGCTCCACCGAAGGCCCCAGTGGCTGCGCCCGCATGCGGTTCCACCCCCCATTCTGGCACACCCCTCACACGTTTCGTGGCCCCATAGGGAGCTCCACCGAAGGCCCCAGTGGCTGCGCCCGCATGCGGTTCCACCCCCCATTCTGGCACACCCCTCACACGTTTCGTGGCCCCATAGGGAGCTCCACCGAAGGCCCCAGTGGCTGCGCCGCATGCGGTTCCACCCCCCATTTCGGCACACCCCTCACACGCTTCGTGGGTGGCTCCATAGGGAGCTCCACCGAAGGCCCCAGTGGCTGCGCTCGCATGTGGTTCCCACCCCATTCTGGCACACCCCTCACACGTTTCGTGGCCCCATAGGGGGCTCCACCAAAGGTCCCAGTGGCACTGCCCGCTTGCGTCCGCCACCACCCAGCACAGCCCTTGTTCCACCAAAGGTGTGGCGCCCGCTTGCGTCCGCCACCACCCAGCACAGCAGAACAGCGCTTCGTAGCCCTATAGGGAGCTCCACCAAAGGTCCCAGCGGCACCGCCCGCATGCGTCCGCCACCACCCTGCACAGCCCTTGCTCCCTGCCTGCGTTTCACCCACCCAGTACAGCGTTCGTGGCCCCATAGGGAGCTCCACCGAAGGTCCCAGTGGCACCGCTGGCATGCGTCCGCCACCACGCAGCACAGCCCTTGCTGACCGCGTCTCACCCACCCAGTACAGCGTTACGTGGCCCCATAGGGAGCTCCACCGAAGGTCCCAGTGGCACCGCCCGCATGCGTCCGCCACCACCCAGCACAATTGCGGCATTCACAACTGCATATGGTTGGGTCCTTCGCCAGGCTAATTTCGGATCCGCAGGAAGTTTCCAGGAGGCCCGGAGAGGCTCTGGAGAGACCCCCAAGACCCCAAGAAGCCCCTCAAGGGGCGCCAGCGCTTCTTTCCTCTTGTTGGGCCTCCTGGAGCTGCTCCTCGTCGCTACGGCTGGATGCCCCTCGAACTACTGGCTCCAGTGCCCCCCCAGGAGCGGTCAGGGTCAGGGAGGGGTCGACCCCCTCGCGTAGTAAATGCAATCGCCACGGGAGGTTCAAAAAACGACTCGGGGAGACGTTTTGCCCCGTCCGGCCCCAGGGAAGGAGGCGACGACATGACAAGCTGGCTCTGGGTAAGGGGTCGAGACCTCTAAGGTTGCACAGTGTGAAATTATCAAAGGATGACGGCGTCGGAGTACGTGCGCGGAGTGAAGTATTTCATTAGCGTTTGGCGCGCGAGGTCGGGACGTTTGTACGCGTGTACCCCCCCAGCGGAGTATCCAATATGCGGTCGGTGGGTTCTTTGCACGTGACACGTGTGCGCGGATTGGGGTCTCCATCTTGCGGCTAGCTCGCGCGCGTGCCGGACGTTTTCACGTGTGTAGGCTCCCAGAGGGATGTCCAACATGCGGTCGGCGGATTTCTCGTAGGTGCAATTCTGTGTGTGCGGTGGGGTATCCAATACGCGCCTGGCTCGTGCGCGTTTGGTGTCATTTACACGCGTGCAGGCTCCCAGTGGGATGTCCAACATATGGTCGGGTGAAGTTTCACTGGTAGAAGCACGCGCGCGGACGTGTGATATCCAACATGCGCCTGGAGCGTGCGCGCTTTCAGTCAGATTGGCAGCTTCAACCCTCTCACGGGCATTCTCGATGCCCCAGAGGAAGCCCGCATTGCCCAGGCCAAAAGGAGCAGTTCGTTTTGGCACTGTCATGAGGCCTCGCCCCGTGCCCTGTGAGTTCGCCACGCCAAACAGACTTTATCGATCTGGCCCGAAAGGATGATCAGAATCTGGTTCTCCCAGTGTGACGTGTGGCAAAAGAAGCTTTCCGCTGAGTGTGTTGTCTTCCCTTTTGAAGGCCCTGCAGGCTGCGACCGCGTGACGTTGTTGTTGACCCCCCCTGCGATGAGTGATCGGAGTGTGTTCCCCCCTTCTG